CCCCCCCCCCCCCGACCCTGCCAGCCCCCTGGTGTTGCCCCTGACCTTCCCGGTCGCCCAAGCCCCGATCCATCCTCTCGCCTCTCGCCTCCTCCTCTCCGGGGTCCCGGAACGGTTCGCTGGCAGACCGTGCGGTGCCCTCGGAGCCCCCGACGACCTCACCGCACGATTATCCGCCACCGCACGGTTTTGGCACCCTAGAGGCCCCCATCGCCCGACACATCTTCGGAGAGCGGGTTAAATTTCAAAGCCGCGCGGTCACCCCGAAACCCCACTGACTCACAAGACGGTCGGGTCACCGCACCGCTCCCTGACATCCGCTGATAGTGTTTGTTTCGATCTGCGGGCAGCTTTCGCCCCAGGGCTCCATAGACGTCCCCAAGAAGGCCGAACTCGAGGAAAAACTGCCGGTTGAAAATTCGAGTGACCCCGATGCTTTCGGCGGCGGGCGAGGGGGGGAAGTGAGCAGGAGAAGGCCTTCTCAGAAGGCAGCGAAACCTCTCAGAAGGCCTCGCGTCTTCTGAGAAGTTTCCCGTGTCTTCGGGGAACATCTCAGAATGCCAGAGGGCTTCCGAGCCCTCTGAGAAGGGCCACCCCCCTCGCTCGAGGCCGACTCTCACCGCTGCTCCCCCGTTGGCCGGGCGTCGCGCGGTGCCCATCCTCGGACATCGCAGCCGCCGCCTTCGGGGGCCTGCACCCCTGCGGGCGGCGGCGCCGGGCGGCGACGATGACCGCCTACGGGCGAAGACGTCGTCCAGAGACGACCACGACCGACGACGACCGACGACGATTGCCGACGACCACCGACTACCGACGACCGCGGCCGACGACCACGGCCGACGACCACGGCCGACGACCACGCCCACGCCGACGCCGACGGCGACGACGACGGCGACGACGAGGCCGACGACGACGAGGCCGACGACGACGATGAGGTCGACGACAACGACAACGGCGGCGGCGACGGCGACGCGACCGACTAGGATGACGAAGACGACCGTCGACGACTGATGACGACCGATCATAGAACAGCGACGACAACCGACCGAAGACATCCGGCGACCGAGGACATCTGGCGAACAGCCGACGGCGGCGAGGGCGTCCGCGGAGGGCGGCGCCGTAAGGGTGGCCGGGCGACAGCCAGGGGGGGGCGCTGGGTTGGGCGGGGGGGGCGTGTGGGCGGGAGTGGGCGATGGGGGCCCCTCCTGCTGCTCCTCCTCCTGGCTCCTCCTCCTTCCCTCCTCCTCCTCCTCCTCCTTTCCTCCTCCTCCTCTCCTCCTCTCCTTCCCTCCTCCTCTCCTCCTGCTCCTCCTCCTCCTCCTCCTCCTCTCCTCCTCCCTCCCTCCTTCCTCCTCCTCCTCCCTCCTCCTCCTCCTCCTCCTCCTCCTCCTCCTCCTCCTCCTCTCCTCCTCTCCCCCTCCTCCTCCTCCTCCTCCTCCTCCTCCCCCTCTTCCCCGTCCTCCTCTCCTCCTCCTCCCTCCCTCCTCCTCCTCTTCCTCCTCCTCCTCCTCCTCCTCCGCCTCCTCCTCCTCCTCCTCCTCCTCCTCTCTCCCTCTCCTCCTCCTCCTCCCTCCTCCTCCTCCCCTCCTCTCCTCCTCCTCCTCCTCCTCCTTCCTCCTCCCTCCTCTCCTCCCTCCTCCTCCCCCACAATTACTCAATATGAATACTACTCTCCCTCTTCCCTGATGACGTCTTGGGAATATTCGCCCCCCCCCCGCGTGCTGTTGTGTTACACACAAGTTTCCCCGGAATTGGGATTTCGCCTGCATTTTTGTCCAAAGTGCTGCTATCGCTGAGGCGCCGGCCTCATTTTCGGGCCCCGCTCGTTCCGAATCGTGCTCCCGCTGCAACGCTGGCATCATTTCCGCCGGCGCCAGGGCTGCACGCCCGAGCCGGCGGCCGGGCCGGCGCTCGGGGTCTGGAGCCGGTTCCGGCCGGCGCCGGAAAATCGAATTCCGAGGCGGCGCCGAAAAAAGGCCATCCTAATACACATTTTTTCTTTTGAAGATGCTGAATTTCTGCTTCCGGCTCTCGGGCCGACCCCGACGCCCAGGCCGGCGCCCGAGCCTGCGCCCGGGCCGGACGCCCGAACCGGCGCCCGGGCCGGCGCCCGGGCCGAGTCCGGAGCCGGTTCCGGCCGGCGCCGGAAAATCGAGTTCCGAGGCGGCGCCGAAAAAAGGCCATTCCAATACACATTGTTCTTTTGAAAATGCTGAACTTCTGCTTCTGGCGCCCGGGAAGCCTTCCCCGGAATTCAGTTTTCGCCTGCATTTTTTCCCGAAATGCTGCTCTCGCTGAGGCGCCGGCCTCATTTTCGGGCCCCGCTCGTTCCGAATCGTGCTCTCGCTGCAGCGCTGGCCTCATTTCCGTGCTTCCGCTCGTTCCGAATCGTGCTCCCGCTGCAGCGCTGGCCTCATTTCCGCGCTTCCGCTCGTTTCGACTCGTGCTCCCGCTGCAGCGCTGGCGTCATTTCCCGTGCCATGCCACGGCATGCAATGCAATGCTAGGTTGACACTACGCTTCGCGGTGCTCTTCTACGCCGTGCCATGCCGTGCTCGACAATGCATCGCGTACCCTTTCGGGATCATCGCCCTGCTTGACATCCGACTGTGCGAGTAGAGAGGGGATCTGCGCCATGGTAAGGGATGGGAGGGAGGGATAGGATGTCAGATATGACGCGAGCGCACCTAGCTTGTCCTCCCCCCCCTCCCCTCCTCCTCCTCCTTCTCCTCCTCTTCCTCCTCCTCCTCCTCCTCCTCCTCCTCCTCCTCCTCCTCTTCCTCCTCCCCCTCCTCCTCCTCCTCCTGCTCCTCCTCCTCCTCCTCCTCCCCCTCCTGCGTTTCTGCGTTTCTCGCTCTGAGCAGCGTCTCGCGCACGCCCGGAGCGCGGAGCGCGCCGCAGCAGCTCACGAGGGCCGCGCGGGCACTCAGACGACGGCCCCGGGAACCCGACCCCGAGGAAGAGAAAGAGGACCAGGGACCAGCCGTTTCAGCACGTAACAGAAGGGGAGAGACGGGGCCGGGTTGCAAGGTGGGGCCCCCGGGGGCCCTAAAAGGCGCGGCGCGCGGCCTCGGAGCAGGCGTAGCCGCAGAGGCAGGGGCCACCGCCCCCCGCCTCTTCAGATGAAATACTCCCTGCGGTAGCCGAACGCGACGAACTTGTCCCCCCCTCGGTGGCCGCCAGCCTCCTCCGCCTTAGGAGGGCGGCACGCTCACCACCCGAGGGGGCGATGGCGTTGAGGAAGCCGCTGTTCAGGCTGGTTACCTCCGTGAAGCCCTGCTGCTGCCCGATGCACTGCTGGTGCCCGGTGCTTTGCTGGTACCCGTTGGTGCGCTGCTGGTTCGGTCACGGCCTCGAGGGGGGTCGGGCCCGGCCTCGAGGATGAAGCGCGCCTTCTTGGTCGTATGGGTTGGTGTGGTGGCGGCCGTCGGAGTCCTTCTCGTGGGAGTCGTCCTGGGGCTGCTAGTCTTCCTTCTGCGTCCTCCTGCGTCCTCTGCGTCCCTGAGGTACGGCGCGAAGAGCGGGTCGGAGGCGAGTGCATCTCGTGGGCACTCGGTGGTCCACTCTGCCTGCGCCTCGCTGCCCAGGGAGCTCCAAGCCTGCGTGGCTATCCACTCGCTGGCGCCACGGCCGCGGGCGTAGCACATGAAGGCCGAGTAGGCCGCGAGCTCGGCGAACGAGACCTCCTCGTAGGCGCGCTGCTCATCGTGCGGGAGCAACGAGAAGGCCGAGCGGGCTCCCTCGGCTTGGACGGTAGCGAGGCGCGCTCGCAAGGCCTCCTCCACGGTTCTGTCAATGACGTCGTTGAGCGTGTCCTCGAGATCCTCCTCGAAGATGTCCCACGGCTTGCGAATGTTCGATGGGATCTGTCCGCTCTCCCATATGTTGGTGCTGCACTGCCCGCTGCCACTGCTCGCACCACTGCCCGTCGCCGCCTGTTCTCGCAGGAGGCTGCCGCTGCTCGCTCCACTGCCCGCCGCCGCCTGTTCTCGCTGTCTTGCGCCACTGCGCGCACCGCTGCCCGCCGCCGCCTGTTCTCGCAGGCTGGCGCCACTGCCCGCCGCCGCCTGTTCTCGCAGGGGGCAGCCACTGCCAGCGCCGCTGCCGGCCACCGCCTGTTTTCGCAGGCTCGCACCACTGCCCACTGCCACTACCGTCTCTTCTCGCACGCATGCCCGCGAATGTTTCTCGCTTTGCGCGCGCTCAGGCTCATCAGGCACTTCTCGCGCGCTCGTGTTCTGGCCACATGCCCTGATAGCGGCGCTGCAGCTGATCGCGTCGGGCTCCAGCGTCGCCGCCAAGGGGGGGTCGGTAAGGGGCGTCGTCGGGGGTCGTCGGCGAGGGGTGTCGAAGTGGGGGCGTCGAGAGTCGTCGAGGGGCGTCGGGCGGGGTCGTCGGGGGGGGTCGTCGAGAGGCTGCCACTGCACGCACCACTGTCCACGACCGCTCGCACCACTGCCCGCTCGCACCACTGCCCGCTCGCACCACTGCCCGCACGCGCGTCCTTCTGACCACCACTGCCCGTCCGCGCGCACCACTGCCCGCTCGCACCACTGCCCGCCCGCTCGCACCACCGCTGCCTCGTCGCGCCACTGCCCGCTTGCACCGCTGCCCGCTCGTCTGGGTCCCTCTGGTCGCCTGGGTCCTCCTTCTGGTTGTCTGGGTCCTCCTTCTGGTCGCCTGAGTCCTCCTTCTGGTAGTCTGGAGCCTTCTGGTGTTGCTTGTGGTTGTTGTTGCGGCGCGCCCTGGCTGCGCGCGCGGCCTCCGCCGCTGCCGCGCGCAGCAGGGCCGCCGTGGGGTAGGCGACGGCGGGCCGAGAAGTGCCGCACCATTGCCCGCCACTGCCCGCCACCGCCCACTGCTCGCACCACTGCCCGCCGCCGGCTGCGCTGCCACTACTCGCACCACTGCCCGTCGCAGCCTGTTCTCGCAGGCTCTCACCACTGCTAGCACCACTGCCCGCCACCGCCTGTTCTCGCAGGCTTGCACCACTGCTCGCACCACTGCCCGCCACCGCCTGTTCTCGCAGGCTCGCGCCACTGCCCGCTGCCACTGCCTTGTAGCAGTATTCCTGGGGTTCTATCTTCGCCTCCCGCTTCTCGCAGGCGCGGACCCCAGAGCTGCGGATAGGGGTAGGGATAACGGGCTCTATATTTGCCTTCCTCTGGCAGCACGCCCTGGTCGCAGCGCCGTCCGCGTTCGAGTCCTCCGAGGTCTCGTTCTGCTCGGACGGCTCGGCGTCGTCGACCTCGTCCTGGTCGAGCTGCTGGTCGCCGTACCTGTCGTCGCAATGGTCGCCGTACTGGATGCCGTATGCCGTACTGGTCGCCGTACTGGACTCCGTACCTGTCGTCGTGCTGGTCGGGGATGAACTGAGTGCCGTGCTGGTTTCCGTCGTGGTCGAGGTGCTGGTCGCCGCACTGGACGCCGTACTTGTTGTCGTACTGGTGACCGCACCGTCTGGGGACTTCGATCACGACGTACTTGACCTCTGTGAGCTTGGCGGCGGCGTTGATCGCTGGTGCTGGTTCCAATTTTGACGCTGTGCCATTGTCACGATGATTCAGGTCCCAATGTTCTTGATGATGGCACAGCCAGGCCTCGATGGCGTCGCGGCGCCGCCTGCGAGCGAGGCGGCAGGCTGCCGTGGGACCGAGGGATATGATTTCTGCCTGGCGCCGCCAGGCGGGCCGCCACGCCTCCTTAGGGCAGCCCTCCGCAGGAGTAAACATCCATGGCATCAGTGCGGCCGCGACGCCGCAGGCGCTGCGGCGCGCGAGGCTCGGCCGAAGGGGGGCCCAGCCGATCGGATCCGCGATCGATCGATCGGCCAGCCCCTCGGCCGAGATGCCTTCCTCCCCCTCCTCCTCCTTCTCCTCCTCTTCCGCCTCCTCCTCCTCCTCCTCCTCCTCCTCCTCCTGCCCCTCCTCCCCGTCCTCCTCCCTTCCCCCTGCTCCTCCTCCTCCTCCTCCTCCTCCTCCTCCTCCTCCACTCCTCCTCCTGCTATCTCCTCCTCCCTTCCCCCTCCTCCCACCTCCTCCCGCCCTTCCTCCTCCCTCCTCGTCGCGGTCCTGGCCACCCCTTTGTAGGATCGCCTCTATCAGGCCGCTTCCCGTACCCCGCTCTGTCATGGAGATCAGCTTCCGTTCGTGCCCTCATCCCTCGTCCCTCCTGTTCCTTTTCTTCTTCTTGTTCCTCGTCCTTGTTCCCCTCGTCCGCCTCGGAACCACGAACGATGCCGACGGCAGGGTCGGCGGGCGCTCGACGCCCAAGAGCCTCCCCCCATCCTCTGTTTCGCCAACTTGCGCCTCCATCCCTGTTCTCTGTCACGACAATCGAATCAAGACCACAGAAACTCCGCAGTCTTCGCCAGAACGGCGCAACGTAACAGGGGGCCACGTGCGAGCCCTGCCCCCCTACCCCCCCCCGCGTTGTCTGCGGGGGCGGGTGGGGTTCACTTCGCCCGGGAACTCCCGAACGGAGTGGACCCCACCCGCCCCCCGCAGGACCTCGCGGGGGGGGGGGGGGGTCGGGGCGCGGGGCTCCCACGTGGCCCCCGACGCAGTCCCATGCTGCAGGCGGGGCTCGGGCCCGAGAGGCGGCAGGCCCACGGAGCGCCTGCCCTCCAGGCGGGAGGCCTCTCGCGAGGAGGCGTTTCGGTCGCGTGGGGCCCGCGGTCGGACTCGATCGGGCAGGACACGCGAGAGGACACAGAGACCCTTCCGAGGGCCACAGTGCCGCAGGAACGCAGGAGGCACGGGTCGCGAGACACAGGACAAGAGGGTACCGTTGATTTGGCAGGGCCGACCTACTAATCTGGGCCGACTGTACAGGGGGGGACCTGGGACGGAAGGGCATGTTGCAGCATCGCTGATGCATTACGGGGTGACTCTGGTCGTCGTCGTCCTCCTCCTACTCCTCCTCTTCCTCCCCACCTTGCGCTTGCTCGCTCATTCTTCGTCATCCGAGAGAGGGCGGGGAGGGGGAATCGAGGAGTGAGGACGAGGAGGAAGTCGGAGCAGATACTGACGAGGGGATAGGGGGAGGGCAGTTAGGAGCGGTAGAGGAGAGGGAAAGGATGGGACGAGGGAGACGGGCATGACGAAGAGGGGGGATCCTGGCCTTAAGCGCGGCAAACAGCGTCACCACTAGACGCTCATCCTGCAGCTCTTCACTCTCGTAGTGCACGTGTTCGTGCTCATTCATTTGCAGATGGTCCAATTGCCCGCTCCGCTAGGTAGAACTGGCGAAACTGCCCGCACGCCGACTGTAACGAGCGAGTCAGCTGATTCAGCCTCCTCCTCCTCCTCCTCCTCCTCCTCCTCCTCCTCCTCCTCCTCCCTCTCCCACTCAAGGCCTCGGAGCTGCGAGCATGCGACTCTGCGTGGGTGCCGCCCTAACCTCCTCCTCCCGTTCCTCCTCGTTTCCCTCATCTTCCCGCTCCTCCCGTTCCTGCCTCGTTTACCTCCTCGTGATCGTTTTCCTTCTCCCGCTCCGCCTCGCCTTCCTCCTCGATGTCCTGCTTGATGTTTCCCCTCCTCGTCCTTCAACCTCCTCCCGTTTCTCCTGGCTTTCCTGCCCCTTCACCAGTCGATCACCTCTTGCTTCGCTCAGCCAGGGTCCTGCGGGCCTCAGGAGAGGAGGAATAAGAGGAAAACAAGGAGGAGGACTAGTGACTAGGACGGTGGCCTGCCTCCGAAGAGGCAGGTCCAAGAGAAGAGACACAGGAGGGCACGAAGACGGGCGACCACGCTTGGCGCGAGCCGCTCACCCCGAACAGACCCCAACTCTGGGGAATGGGGAGCACGGGGCCCGGGGGGACCACGCAGTGGGCCGAAGAGGCATTGCCACACTGAAAGAAGCCGTACGCTCCGCAACAAAAATGGGCTGCTGAGATGCGTTTAGCGCGTCTCCCCAGCAGGAGCGAACATTAGGGTACAAGATGGGGGGCCAGTGCCAGACCAGGAGACACCACTGTTGGGTCCCCCAGCTCACCATATAGCTGCAGCACTGCTGGCAAAACAGGGCCAGCTGACTGTTTACTCTTTGGGTCCAGTCCCTGCATCAAATTACCGAACTGGTACTTGCCGATAGTCGATTCTGGACGCCTGTTACACAACTTGTGAAGGTTACCAACATCCGTGGACGAGTGCGAACCACATGACTTACAGAAGACGTACCTACCAATACGCATGACTACATGGCCAGAACCATGGGGGGCCGGACAAGGGGCTGTATACAACTCGAAATTGCATTGGCTGAAGGCCCAACAGGCTATGAACCTAAAACGCTGCACAAAAAAGTCCCGTGCCAGCTCAATTGGACCTCCGGGCGGCATCACAACAGCCGCTGGGGGGTGCAGACAAGGAGGGAGAACGGCCCGGGGAGGGCGAGGAATCTCATTGAGGCGCGGATAACACGAGACATTACAAAACCTATAGATTTGCCAACATGCTCTACGAGGATACGCGACATATTCAGGCGTTCCATAGCAGCTGCGTCAACAGGATGACGCCGAGAACTAAGCTTATCAAACCTGTCAGCACAATCATTCCCTTTCGTTAGCCAGGCGGCCTGGGCAGGAGAAGAGACAGTGAGGTGAGCTTTCCCCTTGTGGACTCGATTGCTATCATAACCGATGTCGGCAGCTTTTGCATGAATGTGAGCCCATATGCCCGAGTGAGGGCTCCAACCAGATACAACATGAGATGGGGCGTGCCAAGAATCCACCACCCACTGGCAGACGCTGTAATAGACGTATCTACCACTCGAATATGGCAAGGCATGCAGTAGGAAAACTATTAACGCCAAACGTTCCGCGCCAGGCACACACTGATAAACACAAGGGTAAGCATCGTAGGCGGCCACGCGCGCCTCGCTGGATGGCCCCACAGCAACAGCAGAGAAGCCACAGCGAAATGCTCTCGGTGAAGGGCCATAGAGACCTGAACCGTCGCAACGACAGGAGACGCCAGTAGAGGCGCAGCCTGCGGGTCACCAAAAGAGAACCATGACATGTCCAACTCCACAGCTGGATGTGGCAACACAAGGAGGAGGAGAAGCTGGGCCCAAATATATCCGTATCCGCCGTCCGCCGAGGCCCCCGACGCTCGATTCCCCTGGGCGGAGGTCACGGGAAGAAGCCTGCCCCGGAAGGAGGACGAGGACGAGGACGGGGACCCGGAGATCCGGCGATGCAACCAAACTAAAGGGACCGAGGGACACACACACACACACAAACACACACACACACACACACACACACACACACATATATATATATATATATATATATATAAATAGACGCACATCCAAGGATTCCCCATATTTTCCTATACTATCAGAGTTTTCGTCTGCCCCCCACTTCCCATATTTCCCGCGGGATCCACGATTCGTTGTGCCTGTGTGTCTTCTTTCCCCTCCCGACAAAAACTGCAGCAGCGCGAGCACCACGATCGGTACGGTCGGCCCCATCTTGCTGCGGCATGGCCCGAGCTGCACCGATCCGTGATGGCAGCGGGTCCCGCAGCTGGGCGAACACAGCACGGCGCGACCACACCGCAACGCCTGCACCTCGGGGTCGTGCGGCCGAAGGCCTCCCCCACCCCCCTCGCCAGGGGCGGGCCGCCCCCGGCCGCGCGCCGACTACCTCCCGAGGGGCCCAATTTCTCGCCCCGGGTCCTCTTCTGATTGCTCCAGGACCCGAGCACCGCTCCCGAGAGCGGACATCAAAGAAACCCCGCCTGGTGGAAAGAACGGCTTCGACCCGGATCCCACGGGGATCTGCGGACCCGGGTCGATCCAAACCCGGATCAGACAGGCCTTGCGAGATCCTACAGGATCATGCAGCATCCTGCGCCCAAGCCCGGGCCCGGGCGCCCCTGGCCTAGCAGGCTCCTGCAGGATCCTGCGCTCTGACCGACCCCCGCTTGCCTCGACCCCCGTCTCTTGAGCCCCGGCCGGGCCCGCCCCTGCTGCTCCCGGGGCCCCCGCACGAGATCGACGAGGGCCAAGAGACGGCGGGGGGCGCGACGGCGACGCGGCCGAGGCTCGGTGCCGCCCGCGCGGGGAGCGACGGAGCGCCCGCAGCCGCCGCGGCGGCGGCGAGGCGTCGCGCGGGCGAGCCGCCGCGCGGCCTGCTGGCCGCTCTTCGGCGCCGTGCCTGCGAGCGGCCCGGCGGCGGGCGGCGCCGGCCCATGCGCCGCCGGCGCCCCGGCGGAG